GGTTATTTTTTTTTTTTTAAATTTGCTCGACTCTGGGTGGAACCATGGGGTACAAGTACTGCCTCTATTCTTGCAATCGAATTGGAATCAGGTTTTGCACGTAGAGAGGGTGTAATTTAAAAACAATTTAATCTTGAAAAATTGATCAAAAAAATATTCTTAATTATTGACACAATTACAGAATGAAATAATTACCAAGAAAAAAAAAAAATATTTATTTATTTGATGTGATAAACATTAGAAATGAATCGTTATAAGTTAGTTTTTTTAATCAGATTAAATATTGTCTACTTTTAGTTGAAGTGAGAATCTTAACACTTTACCGACCGGTAGCGGTTGATTAATCGGCTATCGGTCGGTAAGCGTTGGCCGATAAAACAGTTGATTAATAGGCTATCGGTCGGTAAGCGTTGGCCGGTAAAACAGTCGTTTAATCGGCTATCGGTCGGTAAACGTCGACCGATAAAACAGTTGATTAATAGGCTATCGGTCGGTAAGCGTTGGCCGGTAAAACAGTCGATTAATAGGCTATCGGTCGGTAAAGTGTTAAGGAATGGAGATATTAGTTTTGTTGCAAGTATCCGTAACGCAGAACGTTGCAAGAAGCGAGGCAGTGACGGGATCGATCGATAACGCACAAAGGAATTTTCACGGGAAACGAACGGCTTCTATTTCACGGTCTACACGTAGAAACGTAGAACTTTTTTGCGAAACGTTGATTCTTTTCTTTTGTACACGTATATAAGGAGGTTTGTGTACCCGGATTTTATCGTAAACGTACTTATTTATGGGATAAAACGAGTCGTAACCGAACGAACGCCAACGTGTATGGTCGTTTAGGGGAACGCAACAGCTGTATCTTCCATAAATTTCGTTCTCCGGCCGAGATATGTTCCATTTTGCTGTATTCGCCGGCAGAACGTTCATCCGATTTCTAGTCCTCGATATTTTACTTCTAATCGTAAGCTTTTCGCCCTCGTTTCTAGTCAACTCGGTTTGTATTTTTGTTTTCCATTTTTATTAATCATTTTTTTTTTTCTTTAGCCTCGACACGTTACTTAATGTCTTTTTTAATGTTTTTGTTCCTTACGTATTACCCAGTTTAATCTTCCGTATAATCGATGACTGTTTTGGGAACACTGACGCGTCTAGTATGTTCGATCGTCGCTAGGGTCGCATCAGTATTATTGACGCGTCAGCTGATCGAATTAATCGCAATCCGTGAGACTGTTACAATTTAATTTTGTTTTCTATATCAAATGGTTCTAAAATTCTATTACAAACACATACAAACATATTTTGAAAGTTTTATGTGATGTTTTCTTCATTGAGAAAAACACAATTGGTCGCCAATTCTAGAAGCCAAAAATAAGACGAAAATCAAGAATACCAATTTGTTGATGGAGGCTTCGTTAAAAAGTTATTAACAATTAAATTCAAAAATTTCAAATCGTTCTAAAAAAATTATTTTCGGTTGCGGGGGTCAATTACAATCATTTTTGGTCATTACAATTACCCCCGAAATCCTACGCATTTTCGAGAAAAAAATTCCTGACCGAAAATCTAATGTGAAGCCATGCATGCAAACCCCCAAAATTTCATGCGAAACTTTAAAATGTCATAACTTTTGAACGGATTGGGGGATTTTAATGTTTCAAACGGCAAACAACGCGTATTTTGATGAAGAATGTGTAGAGATCTCAAAACATTCAAAAAGTTGTTTCTTAACCCTGTAAACTGAGGAAAACCCCATAAAAATGGTCCAATTTTCAAATGGCCATAACTCCTACAATAGTGAATGGATTTCAATGAAATTTTGGGAGGAAGTAGAGTTCATGCGTACCTACAAAAAAGTATTAAAGAATATTTCTGTAGGACGTCAAACAAATTGATTAAAAATGAAAAACAACTTTTTAAGAAGAATCGACAGGGTGTTCCCCCTTAATTTTTCGACGAAAAAAAAAAAATTTCAAATCGTTTTGGAAAAATTATTTTCGGTTGCAGGGATCAATTACAATCATATTTGGTGAATACACATACCCTCAAAATCCTACTCATTTTCGAGAAAAAAATTCGAGAAGGTGTGAAATTTTTCGACGGAAAAAAATAATTTCAAATCGTTCTGGAAAAATTATTTTCGGTTACGGGGGTCAATTACAATTATTTTTGGTGATTAGACATACCCTCGAAATCCTGCGCAATTTCGAGAAAAAAATTCAGTACGGGTGAAACTTTAAACGTTAATAACTTTTTAACAAAGCCTCCATCAACAAATAGGTATTCTTGATTTTCGTCTTATTTTGGCCTCTAGAATCCTTCATTAAATTTTTTCCAGGGGTGGCCGAACACCCTGCATAATCAAATGCAATTCTCAGAACTGAATAGATATATTTATTATATTAAATCTGTGTTTGTAACAGAACTTTTGGACCACCCTGTAATAATCGCGCTCTGCCCATAAACATATACAGATTCCCCCAAAAATAATTGAAAACGCAAAAAAAAAAAATCAAATATAAAATAATAATTATAGTCGTGTGTCTTTTTGACTCGTGTGTGGGTGGTGGGAAATACGAGAAAGTAGTGTGTGTTTTGTGAAACTTCCCCTCCAGTCGTGTTCCCCCTCCCCCCCGCGAGAGATCACGACATTCAAATTGATCTTGAAACACAAAAATTTGAGTCAATTTTATTCCAAGAATGGAAATAAAAATTTTCGATTCTATTCGTAAACTAAATTTTCCTTTCGTCCAAAAATTGAAATCAATCATTTGAAAATTGACTTCCAATAAAAAAATTAATTTACGAACAAAATATTTTCATCTCGAAAATGAAATTTCCCCAGTCGGTCTGTATAAATTTATGGCTGTGTCCGTTTGTGTACTTTTATTTATTTACGATTAGCTTTTCTCGCTTCCGCAAGAGGCTGGGCGTCGTTTATTCTACGCGAAAAGTAGAAAAAAGGACGCGTGATAAGAAGAAACCGAAACACGAAATCATTCCGTTGCATTAGCTTGTATAATTGTATAATTTTTGTAAAGAACAGAGAGAAGGAGAAAAAAAAGAGCGTATATATACATATATATATAGATTATATTATATATATTATTATATTATTATTATATTATATCATACTGTATTGTATGAACACAGATATATGATACGTTGAAGCTACTTTTCTCTTTGGTCGTTTTATTTTTATTTGTTTGTTTTCACTTAAATTATAAGCTGACTACGAGCTTTAGATTGATCGCTCTTGGAGAAAATATCGGTGCTTCGTTTTATTCGATTTTTTATTTCTACACGTTGTTTTCTAAGCTTAAGCATTTCTCTACGATTATAGAAAAAGGCAAAGCCTCGTATTTATTATAATTCACGTTCCTCCGGTCGAGTTTCGTTCGTCGCCGACGAGCGGAGCCACGATCGTTTTGTATCTAACCTCTCCATTTTTGTACGATCGATTTTAAACCGCCACTTCGTCGAACGAGTTCATCGAAACGCGACAAGGATGCTCTCTCATTGAATCATTGATAATGTTATTAACATTCCCACCCTTATTTATATCGTCCATTACGAGAAATCGTAGCTTCGAATTAAATCCTCGTCGCGTTCACGGTGAATACGTACGAGCTTGCTTTTTGTATCGCCCACGCACAGTGAGAAACACGACTCGCACTGCCATCTGTGAAGTCGAATCGAATCGATATCTATCAATCGATGTGAAAACAATCGAAATCTCTTGTTCGAAACGTTAGATTTTTTGGTAAATTAACCTTTCAAAATGTCACTAGGAAATCTGTGTCTTTTGATAGGTCTCCATTTTCTAGCTCAAGCATAATCACGTTATTTAATTAGAAAATTTCACATAAGAGACTCCGTACTGCCAACATGACTGATCAAATAGAAAAAGGTTCGTGCAATTGTGCCATTTTTACTCCGCTAGGGACTTTTTTAAACTGCAGGACTAGGGAATGTCACTAGATGCCGATTTCTGGCGTCATAAAATTTTCTGTCGACACTGATGCCCAGAAATCTCTTTTCTACTTCGAAGGGGAATCTATTTAAGATAGAATAGTGGATTTTAAATATACAAACCTTGACCCAAGGTGTTCAAACTCGATCTGATTCGATTTCACATCCGATTTTACGTAGAACGAACCCTCGTATCGCTCGTGCAAATCGATCTACAGTAGCTTCATGATTTCAACCGATGCTCTCGTCGTTCGATCGACGAGACCTCTGCGTTCCTCTATGTTCAGTTGTTCCCCATCGAACCCGGAGAACAATCGTTCGAAACGCCATTCGAGAAACGTACTCTGTAACACCAACGATTGTACGACCAACGCATAACGATTGTAACGCTATTTCCACTGATAATAAAATATTCTTTTGGTAAAATTCTAGATAATACAACTCTCGAAACGAAAACATTTCACACTAGATCTGAGGCTACATTCACGTTGGACGGTTCAAAAGATTGTACTCACGATTAGGTATCCAGTTGTCCCTATTTTCTGAAGCACACTTTCGATGCAACAATCTTATGAATTCAACGTCTTTACGCCGAACTATAGCAACATTCACGAATATATCACGTATAACCTTAAAATATTTTCAAAATACCTCCACGAATCCAACATGGCGTCTCTACAACGAACACAATAGCAATAATCACGAATATATTACGTATAACCTCGAAATATTGTCAAAGTGCCTCCACAAATCCAACATGGCGTCTCAACAACGAACACAATAGCAATAATCATGAATATATCACGTATAACCTTAAAATATTTTCAAAGTACCTCCACGAATCCAACATGGCGTCTCTACAACGAAAACAATAGCAATAATCATGAATATATCACGTATAACCTCAAAATATTTTCAAAGTACCTCCACAAATCCAACATGGCGTCTCCACAACGAACACAATAGCAACAATCACGAGGCAATCGATGCACCGAACTGAGATATTTATTATTTGACTTTCTCCTTTTCAGAATCTCGTGTGCTGCGCCAGCGACGTCCTAGAGGGCGGTAGAGGAGTGGTTCGCGTGGCTGTGACCGTATCAGAGCTGCTGAGGTTCCATCAGACGCGGTCGCCATTGCAGACGTCCTCGTCGACGGTGCAGAACCACGTGCCTGCTTAGCGCCAGACAATATAATTCCTCCCGGAGAAACTCGTCGACCACAGAGGGAAACGAAAAACGGACGCGGCCACGTTTCCTCCGATCGCGCGTGGAGACGATCGTGACTTCCGGTTCGAAACCGGGGGACCGCCTGACGGCCATTGCCGGTCTCTCCGTGACTTTTATACTCCCCTGAAACCGTCAGGTGAATCTCGCGTCGAGGATCACTCGACGTTGGACTGCGACCAACCATGACACACGAGTAGATTGTACGAAAAAGAAACTTTTGTATCGGATGGACGAGCGTATCTTTGTACCGGAAGAGTAGACGAGATTAGGGTAACAAAAGTAGCACGCGATCGCGGAATCGTGGCTACGTCGAATCAAAGTGGTTAATTAATACGGGAGACACCATTTTGGGGATTTTTAGACTTTCGAAAATTATTGACATTTATTTTCTGATTGTTTTTGTCTCACCCCATTCATTACGATGATTATGAGATTTTTTATTTCATAGACCACCCCTTTAGCAATTTTACGAAACTTATGGACACCATTTTATAAAAGAACGTAAATTTTAGATTTTTCAAACATATGTAAAATTATAGTAACCCTTTGCACTCCAAGAGTTTAACACAAATGATGTGAATTAAAAATATTTTTTAATTTGTTGTTTCCCAACACTTTGACGGCCATTGTCACGCATACGTGAGTTCACTGTTTCCAGTAACAATGCGATCATACTTTGTTTAAATATCTCGAAACTAATTTTCTAGTAAGAAATCTAGGGGGAAAAGGCCCTTGACTGTTTCCTAACACTTTGACGGCCATTGTCACGTGTACGTGAGTTCACTGTTTCCAGTAACAATGCTATCGTACGAATTTGTTGAAGTTTAAATATTGCAGAGATTGAAATAAGAAGCGTTTAAATATCTCGAAACGGATTTTATCCATATATTTTACATTTTATAATTCCTAAATTCAATTTGTGTTATCGCAAAGAGTTAAAATGTTTTGGAAAGTTTGAAACCCAACTGGCCCAAAGTCAGTCCCAAAACGGTGTCTCCTATATTTTTCGACGGTCTGTATATCCGTGCTTTCTACTAGCTGGTTACTACGAGACATTTCTATATCGTAACGTGGAACAATATTCAATCAAAAAAAAAAAAAAAAAAAAAGTAACAATTAAAGACATCGAAATTCTCTCGACGTTCGAGCATCCCTCTGCGATTAATCCGAGCGTACCCGTCGCGTATCTCAGCTGGTCGTTTCCAAATGGGCCCCGATCGGAGAAACGGGACCCCGATCCGTTATTTCGTTCGAGCGGTATTCGGTTCGTTCGTTCCACGATGTTTTAGCAATTTCGTTCCTCCTCGGGAGAAACAAGCCCACGAGTATACCGATTAATTAGCCCCTAATCCCGCGTTTGATTAGCCTCGAACCGCGTTACCGACAGAAGGTAAGGTAGGTTTCTTCGCGAAGCGATCGGTAAGTTAGTTAGGAATTTTTTCAATGTCACGGACGATGGGCCCCCAGGCAGTGTTTTCCAAATTTCTATGGAGGGCATTATTCCTAAAAATCAATTGTTAATTGTAAATTTATTATAATTTGAAGAAAAATTCATTATAATTTGTAAATTTTTATAAGCAAATGACGATCGTTGGGGCCTTTATGGACTTCTGGATTACTGCAATATTTATGTATTAGATTTTTAGTTTGTTATTTTAATTTCTAAAGTGATATTTTAAGGAAATTAAATTTTGAATTTTAAATTATGAATTTTGACGAGGTTATAAAATGAGAACGACGATTAATTTTGAATTGAGTAGCTTCCAGGTTGATCCATGGTACCACTATAAGGGGATAGAACTCGAAATTAATTTTAAATTAAAAAAAAAAATTGGGACTTATTTAACTCCAAGCCATATTTGGCTGTAAGGAATTAAATCTTGGGTTACTTTTGCTGAAAGAGTCTATAGAATCGACTCCCTCAAAGATGTAACCCTTAATAAAATAAATAAAAAACCAACATCTGGGTCCAAAAAGATCCACCGACCGCCATGTGAATATTACATAATATTAACCCTTCATAGACACGCTGGGTCTTCTAAGGAACAGTCGATTTTCGATATTAATTTCCTGATAATCTCCAAAAATCAATAAACCCAAGTTTACGTCTCGAAAAACTGGAAAAAAAAATTTCAAAAATTTTAAATAGCGCTGGATCGACTCAAAAAAATAGGCTGGTCCTAAAAGATCCAGTGCTAAATCACAGCGTGTCCGTGGGGGATCGATAGAAATTTCAAATTACCAGAATTTCATCTCTCAGCCGCCATATTGGAAAGCACTGGGCCCAGATCGATTCCCCCGATCGATCGATGTATCGAGAATCGTTCGTGCGTTCACGTAAGATTAAGGCCTAGGTGTTCACGGTATAAATACCGCCGAGTGTTTTTGCAATTTTATTTTTTGTTGTCCATTTTCTTTTTTTATCAATTAAAAAGAAAAAAAACACGACGCACGTTCGATACCGAGCTGTTCTTTTTTTCCGTCGATTCCGAGTACCGACCAAGAATCTAGTAATAATTGATTTAGTAATAATTCCCGAAACGATAACCCCGTTAGGTGCTAAGCGTATTATCGTTAGTTGTAATTCCTTTTTTCTTCTTTATTTTTCTTTTTTTTTTTACGATTGATCGCGTAAGAGGAACACGAAGGATCTCATACGTCAGCGATCGATGAGCAATCGATTTGTGTTTCGGTGTACCTTGCTGTTTTAGGACACCGTGATATTCGTAGATGATTACACCATGTATTCGTATTTATTGTGCCAAAGATATACGTTAATTCTTCTCTCTGTCTTTCTCGAAATCGTCTCGAAGGATCAGCACTGCCGGAGTTTTCAACGAAGCATAGGATTATCGATAAATCGATAGCTCGCTGAATAGTTCTCGATGTGTAAACAATATCGTTAAGGCAAACGCAAGTAATAAAATTGGATATTTAATATAGATAACAGATACAATAATGTAATATTTAATATGTTTCTTGTAATTCAAAAATACAGTAACATTCCGACAATAGTACCATAAGTTCTCTTCTTCGAAACTATACTGTCGTATGAAACAGTTATTGTTATGAGGATTTTTTAATCAGCACAAAGATTATCGATGTCTCAATGATATTATCGATACATCGAACTATCGATAACTCTGTCGATACATTGAACTGTCGATATCTATCGATAACTCTGTCGATATCTATCGATAACTCTGTCGATACATCGAACTGTCGATACCTATCGATAACTCTGTCGATACATCGCACTATCGATACATCGAGTTATCGATACATCGAATTATCGATATTTATCGATAACTCTGTCGATAGATCGAACTATCGATACCTATCGATAACTCTGTCGATACATCGAATTATCGCTATTTATTGATAACTCTGTCGATACATCGAACTATCGATACTTATCGATAACCCTGTCGATAGCAGCACCTCTATTCGGTATCGATCCATCGAAACTGTCCTTCGAGCGTACATAAATAACTGTGTTGACTCTTCATAACGAAATAATTTGATAATTAGAGTAAATCTGAGCACGTGGAAGATTCTGAAAGGAATGATTCCCTGTAAAGAAAATTGAGGTTAGTTAGAACAGCCACTTGGAAGGTTGCAAACATTTTCTAGGTGCAAACCACGTTGCAAAGAGTCAGCTATTTTTCTTCTAAGCCCTTTCGACTCTGTCTGTTGCCCTTTCACCCAGTTTCACCTTCGTTTCGTTCGGCCAGCACCGTTCGTAGGTACACGTGAATTTATTAAGCGACGCGTCGCTGCGGAATTGCATTATTATTCGCTCAAAAATGTCGCTGTTCGCGTCTTTCGTTGGAAATCGTGCGAGAAAGATGGCGGCTGCGAGACGAGCGACCACCCTTTTGGAACAACTCGATCGACTCGGTGTTTTCGAGCAAAATTTTCATTAAAAAACAAATGATTGTATGCAAATAAATATTTCTGTTTTGGTGATTATAAAAGTGGATTATGTAACAAATTTTGAATGAAAATTCTTCACTTTTGTGATTCCCCAAGAATTATAGAATTAAATATTTCAGAGGGATGTTTAATTTGATAAATATTTGAGAGAATAGAAATTGACGAGAATCAAATTTTGCTCGTTTTTTGAAGCCCACCGAATAAAAAGCAGGGGTTGAAAAATTCCTGCTCGACTATACTCGCGATTATGAGAGTCGAGAGATTCGTTTCAAATTTGTTTGCTCGCTCGATTGATAATTATAAATACACCGCACGTAATATATTTAAAAAAGTAACGGATACAGTGTATAAAATAAATCGAGAAAATCTCCGTATGTCTAATTGTTATTGTTTATGAATAATTCATACTCCATTCCACTTCTTTTATCCAAAAAAAAAAAAAAAACGAATTTATCCAAAATTTTCTTGAAGGGGTAGTTTTCTTTTTAAAATTATATCATCGAAATTATCTATTTTTTTGTATTAAAAAAAATATATTTCTTATTGTATAAGTATACTAAGTGGGTGGTAAAAATTTCAAATGGGTCCATTGTATTGTTTAATTAGAATAAATTGGAAAATATTCTGGGGGAAGATACCCCCTTTCATGATTTAATTTTTGAATTTTTTTTATTTTTGAAAATGGCAGATTCGAGTATAAGGTAAGTGCAATATTAATATTGATAGTTTCAATTTATTTTATTGATAGAATTATTAGTATGATAAAAGCATTATGGTTGTTATTTAAGAAATAAAAATATTTGGAAAAATTCGTAATTTGTTTTTAATTTAATTTGATCTATTTGATAGTGGGATGAAATTTATGGAATTCTTTCTCAAAATGGCGTTTTAAAATATTTTTAAAGCCAGTGTTTTGTTAGGTAAGAGTTTAGACAAATTTTATAAACAATTTTTGAATTATGTGATGAACCCTGTTTATATTATTGTTTTTTAAAAATAAAGGGATCCTTAATTTTAAGAACAAGCTATAAAATACAATAAATGAACACATAATAAATCATAAGAGATTTGAATGTTTCATGAGAAAATTTAAAAGTACTATAATTTTGAAAACGAATTCTTGAAGAGCAAAATTGAAATTACAAATATTTATAAATTTCTCTGGGTGAAATAGGCAATTTTAATATTTTCTAAAATGGCGTCGCAAAGTTCCATTCAACTAGCCAAGTTACTTCTATTGAACCAAATTTTTGGAGTGCAACAGGTTTAAACAAAAATACTATAACACTGAAAACTCAATTTCCAAAATCCAAAGAGTTAAAACAAAAATACCATCATATTGAAATCAAATTTTTAGAACACAAAACTGTTAAACCACAAAATACCATAACATTGAAATCAAATTCTTAAAATACAAAATTATTAAAACAAAAATACCATAAATTTCAAATCAAATTTTTAGGACACAAAATTGTTAAACCAAAACTACCATAATACTGAAAACCCAATCTCCAAAATTCAAAAAATTTTCATTGAAATGAAATTCTTGAAATACAAAATTGTTAAAACAAAAATATCATAATACTGAGAACTCAATCTCCAAAATCCAAAGAGTTAAAATAAAAATACCATAACACTAAAATAAAATTCTTAGAACACAAAATTGTTAAACCAAGAATACCATAATACTAAAATAAAATTGTTAAACCAAGAATACCATAACACTGAAATAAAATTCTCAGAATTTTGTCCTACAAAATTGTCAAAACAAGAATACCATAACCCTGAAACCAAATTCTTACAACCCAAAATTGTCAAAACAAAAATACTCCAACACCGAACACTCACACTCCAAACATTCCAAACAAAAATTCCTGCAACACAGAAAACCCCCTCTCCAAAGTCCTCTTTCACGTCGCTATCTCCACCCACACCAAGGGTTGAACTCTCTCCGAGTCAACTGGTGGGAACCCCAGTGGGTGTACCAAAATGGGAGGAGCCTGGTACCCCTGGAAACTCCATTTTGTTCTTGAAAGGCGGTCTCGGAATTCCACCTTCCCCTCTACCAGGTGAGTACCACCTTGGGACACGATCGACCTTCTCCAGGTGGAGGGAACGCGAACGCGAACATTGCCGAACAGGAGTTCGCGATACGCGTGTGCTGCTGGTCGGTTCTCTCAGTCGCGTGGCACTCTGAAACCGTCTCGTCCATTTCCACCGCGTCGACCTTCCGCAAACGGAGTCGCCAAAAAACTGATCGCTGAGAGATCATCCTCGCGTCGAGTGTCGTCGAAGCGTCGCGCCACTCCAGGCGTCGATTCTCAAAATAATACCACGATCAACATGACCAAAACGCGTTCATCGCGAATGATCAATGATCGATCGATTTATTCGACACCTCGTGTGTGTACCTCGCCCGATATCGAGCTGTAAACACAACAGGAGAGGTCGTCGAGTGTGTGTCCGCGACACGAGCACTTCATTGATATTTCCAGGTAACGCGAGAGATACAAGGCGGTCTGGTTCAGTCTGCAACGATACTGGTCGTTGATAACGATCGAGGAACTCTGCAAACATCGCTAGGATCCACCAAAGACGCTCGTACGCGACGTCAAACGGGGTCAGACGTTAACGTTTCGGAGGCACAGGGGTTCGAAAGGTTGGTTCGAGGAAGTTTGAACAAGTTTGAACGAGTTTGAAGGGGATTTTCGACCGCCTGGACGACGAGGGAATCGAGAGGAACTGGGAATATCGCCTGTACGTGAAGATCACACGACGTCAAACCGGCTCAAACGGGCTCAAACATCGTCAAACATGGGCAAACATTAGCGTTTAAAAGCAGATTGAGCTGGATGAGGATAGAGTTTGAGGGATTATGATCGTTCGGGGGATCCAAAGGCTGGTTTGAAGAGATTTGAGAGGGATTTTGATGAGAAACACGAGGAACTGAGGGGCTCTAGCTGTGCGATGCGGACGAAGGGGACGCCCCGATTTTGGAGCGAGGACGCTTAGCACCTCGCGTTCGGTTTGTTCCTGGTTCGTTGCCCTCCGTTTTTCTCTGTTTGAGTGTAACTTTTGTGCGACACAACGATGGATTTGAGCACCACGCCGAGGAGAGCGACGGAGGGCGTGGGCGACCTTCAGAAAACGCGCGTCGCGAAGAGCGTGTTCAGCATCCGGAGCCTCGTGGACGTCGAGGAAGCGGATCTTCCGGCCACTGACGACATCGAGAGGACGCAAAGTGAGTCGATCTTCCGATTTTTTATTCAGAAATTGCTACTATGATTTTAGAAAGGAATTGTTATTTGAATTGACTAGTGAAATGGATTTTAGGAATTTGGAATTAAATTTTATGGGAGTAATTGTTAGGTCTGTTTCCAATTTTAGAAATTAATTGTTCTATGAAGAAATAATTATTTAAGTTGATGGGTGAAATGAATTTAGGAATGAATGTGGAATTCAATTTTATGGAAGTAATTGTTAGATCTGTTACCAATTTTGGAAATTAATTGTTCTATATAGAAATAGTTATTTAACTTGATGGATGAAATGAATTTAGGAATGAATGTGGAATTCAATTTTATTGTTTATTATTGTTAGATCTGTTTTCACTTTTAGGAAGTGAAATGAATTTAATATATGCAAAATTTAAAAAAAGGGTTGTGGAAGTAATTAGGTTTGTTTCCAATTTTAGGAAGGAATTATTCTATGAAGAAATCATTATTTAACTTGATGGGTGAAATGAATTTACTTAATGAATAAATATGGAATTAAAACACAGAGTTTTGTACAGTTTTGTAAAGTAATTGCTGGGTTTGTTTCTGAAATTTTGGGTAGAATTCAATGGATTTTAGTTGGTAATAATACTGCTTCAATTTAGGAAGAAATAATTCTGTTACTTGATGAGTGAAATGAATTTACTGAATGAATGTGGAATTAAATTTAATGGAACTAATTGTTAGGTCTGTTTTCAACTTTAGAAAGAAATTATTCTGTGAAGAAATAATTATTTAACTTACTGAATGAATGTGGAATTAATAAAAGGATTTTTAAAAATTAATTGTTAGGTTTGTTTCCAATTTTAGGAAGAATTCTGTGGATTTTAGTTAATAATAATACTAAATCAATTTTAAGAAGAAATAATTCTATGACTTGATGAATGAATATGGAATTAAATTTAATAGAAATAATTGTTAGGTCTATTTCCAGTTTTAGAAAGAAATTATTCTATGAAGAAATAATTCTGTAACTTGATGAGTGAAATGAATTTAATGAATGAATGTAGAACTAAATTTTATGAAAGTAACTGTTAGTTTGATATTCAATTTTAGGAAGTAATAATATTATAATAAAAGAGTGAAAGGAATTTAAGAAATGTGGAATTTAAAACAAGGGTTATGGAAGTAATTTTTAAGTTTGTTTTCTATTATAGAAAGAAATTATTCAATGAAGAAATGATTATTTGAATTGCCTAGTGAAATGACTCTGAGGAATTTGGAACTTAAGAAAAGGGTTATGGAAAAGTAACTGTTGGGTTTGTTTCTGAAATTTTAAGTAGGATTATGTGGATTTTAGTTAATGATAGTAATACTGGTCCAATTTTAAGAAGAAGTAATTATTTAACTTGATGAATGAAATGAATTCAATGAATGTGGAATTTAAAGCAAGGTTTATGGAAGTAATTTTTAAGTTTGTTTCCAATTATAGAAAGAAATTATTCAATGAAGAAATAATTAGTTGAATTGACTAGTAAAATGAATTTGAGGATTTGGTATTTAAGAAAAGGGTTATGGAGAAGTAACTGATGGGTTTGTTTCTGAAATTTTAAGTAGGATTATGTGGATTTTAGTTAATGATAGTAATACTGGTCCAATTTTAAGAAGAAGTAATTATTTAACTTGATGAATGAAATGAATTCAATGAATGTGGAATTTAAAGCAAGGTTTATGGAAGTAATTTTTAAGTTTGTTTCCAATTATAGAAAGAAATTATTCAATGAAGAAATAATTAGTTGAATTGACTAGTAAAATGAATTTGAGGATTTGGTATTTAAGAAAAGGGTTATGGAGAAGTAACTGATGGGTTTGTTTCTGAAATTTTAAGTAGGATTATGTGGATTTTAGTTAATGATAGTAATACTGGTCCAATTTTAAGAAGAAGTAATTATTTAACTTGATGAATGAAATGAATTCAATGAATGTGGAATTTAAAGCAAGGTTTATGGAAGTAATTTTTAAGTTTGTTTCCAATTATAGAAAGAAATTATTCAATGAAGAAATAATTAGTTGAATTGACTAGTAAAATGAATTTGAGGATTTGGTATTTAAGAAAAGGGTTATGGAGAAGTAACTGATGGGTTTGTTTCTGAAATTTTAAGTAGGATTATGTGGATTTTAGTTAATGATAGTAATATTGGTCCAATTTTAAGAAGAAGTAATTATTTAACTTGATGAATGAAATGAATTCAATGAATGTAGAATTAAGATTTTAGGGAAGTAATTCTTAGGTCTGTTTCCACTTTTAGGAAGTGAAATGAATTTAAGTAACAAATGTAAACTTTAAAAACAGGGTATATAAAAGTAATTATTAGATTTGTTTTCAATTTTAGAAAGAAATTATTCTATGAAGAAAGAATTATTTAACTTGAGAAGTGAAATGAATTTAATGAATGAATATGGAATTAAATATTATGGAAGTAATTATTGAGGCTTGTTTCCAATTGTGAGAAGAAAGTATTCTATGAAGAAATCATTATTTAACTTGATGAGTTAAATGAATTTAATGAATGAATGTGGAATTAAAAGGAAAGGGTTATGGAAAGGTAATTCTTGAGTTTGTTTCTGAAATTTTATGTAGAATTCTATGGATTTTAGTTAATGCTAATAATACTTCTCCAATTTTAAACAGAAATAATTCCATGACTTGATGAGTGAATTGAATTTAATGAATGAATGTGGAATTAAATACAAGGATTATGGAAAGGTAATTCTTGTGTTTGCTTCTGAAATTTTATGCAGAATTCTATGGATTTTAGTTAATGCTAATAATACTGCTACAATTTTAAACAGAAATAATTCTATGACTTGATGAGTGAAATGATTTTACTGAATGAATATGGAATTAAAAGAAAGGGCTTTGGAGAAGTAATTGTTAGATTTGTTTTCAATTTTAGGAAGAAATAATTCTATAACTGACCATTGAAATAAATTTAACCAATAAAGAATTAAACACAAGGGTTATAGAAAAGTAATTGTTGAATTTCTTTCTGAAATTTTATCTACAATTCTATGAATTTTGTTAATAATAATACTACTACAATTGTAGAAAGAAATAATTCTGTAACTTGTTGACTGAAATGAATATAATGAATGAATGAGGAATTAAATTTTGGTGGAAATAATTGCTATCTTTGTTTCCAATTTTACAAAGAAATAGTTATTTAACTTGACCAGTGAAATGAATTTAATGAATGAATGTGGAATTAAATGTTATTGAATAGTTATTGTTGGGCTTGTTTCTGAAATTTTATGGAGAATTCTTGTGGATTTTAGTCAATGATAATACGTGTTGTGTACAGAGGCAGGCTGTAATTTTAGAGAATGTGGTAAATGACAACACAGAGATGTGTGGTGGGGTTGAATATCTGCGATCTAATGAGAGTTTATAATTCGTCGTAAACACGACTCTCTGGATGTAGAATTTCCGGTAATAATCGGTATCGGGTTTCACCGAAAATTGGACGATACTGATTTTTGCAACAATTTGCAGATTCCAATCTGCAAATTTGTACAATCATAATTATTGAAATCAAAGAAAATTGCAAAATATAAAATATAAAACCCCACAATATTTGTGTTTAGACACTAATAGTGAGACTTGAATAGAAAAATAAATTTTCTAAAAATTTAGAAAACAAAGTATTTGAAATAAAATTTTAATAAAATTGAAAGAATCTTCTTTCAATATTTTCTCAAACTATCTTGTGCTTCTATGCAAAATTCTAAGCCTCTAATTTTTGCAACAATTTGTAGATTCCAATCTGAAAATTTTTAGAATCAAAATTATTGAAATCATAGAAAATAGGAAAATATAACAAAATATAATTTTCTCACAATATTTTGTGCCTAATATATATATAAAAAACACTATTAATAGACACTTATATAGAGACTTGAATAGAAAAATAAATTTTTTTAAAAATTAGAAAAACAAGAGTCTTTGAAATAAAATTTGAAAATTAAATTTTAATAAAATCGAAAGAATCTTCTCAAAATATCTTGTGTCTCCTATCATTCTGGACCCCTCATAATTAATCTGAAAAAGAAACTGACACAATAATCAATGAAATACAAAATAAAATGGAAGATTTGAGATAAACACGATCTTTTAATTAACCCTGACGATAAAACTAATTATTTCTATCACACTGTTTGTAAATACCATTACTCCGAAGCCACGATTAGAACACGCACTCGTGCAAAACGATTGTTGATATAACAGCTGCTTGTTTTCTAAATTCTGGAAATTGAATCCGAGCTGATCGGATTAGTTTTCATGCGAAATAGCGGTAAGCCGACGTATTAGCCTCGGGCACTGATTAGAACCAGTTAAACTCAAGATACCGGCGATGTTAATAAGACCAGTGATAAAACTAAAAAAAAAAAAGAAAAAAGAATTAAATCGTCAAGGAGTAAACGATCATGAATAGTCAATAGAATAACGCTGTTAGGGATAGGAATGTAGTCGTGATCAGGTCTGTCTATATTACAACCCAGTTTGCACGCAACAAACTGCATAAAATTTATGCTGAACTCCGAGAGTAACGATATACAGGGTGATTCCAAAAACTGGGACGAAACCAGTTCTTTAAAAAAAAAAAAAAAATTCACTCTTTTCTCATAAATTTATTCTTTATAGAATTCTGCAAAATAAAAATGGAGGTAATACTGTGCAAAATATTTATAATTTATTTTGGGAAATTGTAGGTTATATTAAATACTTTCTATCATTTGAATTATAACCTTGAATTTGTGTAACATTTACAGTAACTATTTTCAATTTTAATTTTTCAATATTTGCACCACAATATGCAAATTAAAATTGAAAACAATTACTCTGTTATAACTACTACTTAATTCAAAAATATAATAAAAAAATGAAAAGAGTGATTAATGAAATATTGAACTGTGATTTTAAAAAATTTTACAAACAAGTTTAGATGCAGAACTAAGAAAATAAAAA